TTTAAAATTAGCTTTTGTATTGCTTTTATTACTGCTTTAGGTAACTTTGTTACTTGTGCAGTAAGTGAGCTTAGTCACTATGCATATGTTATTAATATAGGCCACTTATGCTAATGTTATTTTTTTAATTTTAAAGCTTTTTACTATTATATATACAACTTTTTGGGCTGTTGTTTTGACTAAGAACTCTTTTAGCTTATTGTTAAGCTATATTTCTAAAAATCTTATTACTTTGTTTTTATTTTCTTTTTGTACTATTTATTGTCTATTTATATATTTCTATTTTTTATTTTTTATTTATATTTATAATCACTAGTCTTGATTTTTTTCTATTTATCTAATATTATTAATTTTAAAGAACTCTTCTGCTATTTGAATTATTTGCTTCATCTGTTTTTTGTTCTTAGCAATTCAAGTTGTATTATTAGTAAAAGCTACTACTGCTTGTCTTTATTTTATTTTCTCTTAATTGTTCAAATTGTAGTTGTATAGAATTTTTACTTTAATTGTATACCCAAAGCTTGAGTCTACTTGGATTTTTTCAAGTATTAGGTTATAGAAAATTCTTTATACCAGTAGTAATAACATTTCATTTTGCTTAATTTTATCTTTTATTTTTCATGTTTAGTTGTTTTCTAATGTATAATGACTTTAGATTGCCTTTTTTTAAATAAATTCAATATAAAATTTATAATTCTTTTAGGCATCTTAAGTCTTTTTATTGTCAGATCTAGTAATTGTAAAGATACTAAATCAAATACCTTTTTTAAATCTTGAAAAACTAGCTATAGTTTCTTGTTATTGTTTTTATTATCTTTTATTAGTTATTAATAATATGTATTAGTTTTTCTGTTGAGTTTTTAGGAATATCTGTGAAGTTTGAATCATGAGTATTTTTTTTTAATAAACATTTGTATTGATTTGTTTATTAAAATCATTGTTATGATTTTCTTAAAGTTTTTAGCAGAGCAATAGGTCTGTCATTATTTAGATTATATTGCTATTTTGTTTCTTATAATATAAGAAATATTTATAATATTTTTTATTTTTTTTGACATAATATCTGCTTGATACATATTTTTACAAAGGTTTTAAATATTTTTGTGAAAGTAATTCTGCTGCTTATATAAGCTTGTAAGTAATTTCTATAATTTTTGAAGCTATATTTTTTTTAAGCTTATTAACATTTTTGACTATTCATCTACTATGATATTTTAGCTTATATCTTTGTACTAATCTGACTGCATTGATGTTTTGAATTTATAAATCTCTTCCTATTCATTATTTAAATTTTTTTTTTGAAATTCAAAGTCTTAATTAATTTTGAAAATATTTTTTTGTCTTATTAAGTATCTTTAGTGATTCTACTATTAATTTTTTATAGCTATTTATGTTTTTTATAAGTCTGTTTATTTGAATTTTCTTACTTGATCTGTCAAGCAGACTTGTAAACATTTTTCTCTATTTGCCATTGATCATTTGACATTTTTTTATATGTTTTCTTAATTTCTTTTCTTTTTAGAATCTCAATCTCACTTAATCTTTTTCTACCAATCTTTAAAATTTTTTATTAATTTTTTAGTTCAATCTTTTAATGCTAGTTTGATATATGTTTTTTGATGTTAGTTGATATATTTTATTTCTTTATTGAGTTCTTGTATATTATTATTTAGAAAACTAAGTCTTATATTTATTTTACTAATTCTAATCTATCTTTCTAACTGTATTAGTAAGTTTGGTAAGCTTTGCTTTTTTTGTCTAATTTTTTTTATTTTCTATTGTATTAAGTATTTTTTTTTTAGAAAGTAACTTTTTTGTAGCCAATTGTATGCTATTACAAATAATATTCTACTAGTTATCTAATTTACTCTCTATATTTGTTAAAATGCTTGTATTACTTAACTTATATAATATATTTTTTAGATTTTGTATATTAATTTTTCTTTTTAGTTGTTGGTTGAGCTCTGCTTTGTAATTTTTTTAATTTTTTTTATTGCTTTATCATATAGGTAAATGGTTTTTTTTGACTATCTTTCAATTTTGCTAGTTCTCATATAGCTATTAAGTGTTTTAAATTCATTTTTGCTAGCATATTATGATTACTATTTGTGCATATATCTATTTCTTGTATTTTTGTATCATAAAGTCCATATAACAAGTCTTCTGTTATTTATATTTAGCTACTTAATCAGTAAAATTCTTTTAATTCTAAATTTACTGTTCAATATGTATTACAAAGCTTCTGTCTTGTTAGCCACTTAAGAAGAGGATCTTGTTTTCTGATTTTTGTTTTGAATTATCTGATCTATTGAGTTCAGTATTAATTACACTATTAAAATCTTCTATTATTATTATTTATATTCTTTGTAATTGTTTAATGTATTTTTTTATTACTGTTTTTTAAATTTTCTTATATTTTTTTTTGTTGTTAGATAGTATTTATAGCATTATAATTATTATTTCTAGTTGTTTAAAAACAAACTAACTGTAATTATATTCTTATTTGTTTTATTTATTTCTTTAAAGTATTTGTTTCAATGTTTATTAATAAATATGCCAATACCTGAGCCTTCTTTTTTAAATTAAAATTTACTCAAAAGCTTTTGTATCTCTTTATATTTCTTGTAATAAAAAAATTTTCTTTGCTTAAAATGTTTGTTTCTGCTAAATTAATTATATTTATTTATTGTTAATTAGTTATTTATACAATATTTCAATTTTTTGATTATTTCTTTTAAGGCCATTAATATTATATACTGTTATATTTGAGTTGGTTTTTTCTTTATTTTCATTTTTTTATTTAGTTTTTTCTTTTATTTCTTCTAGGTATAGTATGTTTCCTTAATTTGAAGTTTGTTATTTCTTTTTTTTATTAGAAAAATTTTTGTTTCTACATCTTTATTTTTTGGTTCAACTGTAATAAAACTTAGAAGCATTGTAGCTATCTTCTTTTGGTAAAGGTTTTCAGTTGCTTTTGTTATGTTTCAACTCTTTTTAGTCTAATTAATTTGCATTGTATAAGTTCTTGCATTTGTAATTAATTTTCTATATTTGCCTTTTTCTGTTTTTTCTTTTATTTTTATTTTTTTGATTTCTTGAGTATCTGCACTTTTATAACCTTCTGAGTCTGTGTTTTAACTAAATATATCTATACTTTTATTTTTTCTGTTTTTTGAGGTTTTTCTTTTTTTTCTTTTTCTTTTTTTTTTATTATTTAATAGACTCAAAACTTATTGTATTGTGACAGGTAAACAGTGAGTCTTTCACTCCAACAGACAAGACCTTGCATAATGCTACTAATATAGCTGATTAAGGCTTCAAGGTATAGAAATAATTTGGTGATATTTTTATTTTTACTTTCTTTATTTTACTTAGATTTCTTTATTTAATTTCTAACTAACTATTCTACAAATTATTAACTACTACTACTTAGAGACTTTGATTTCTTTCCTACTATTTGAAAGCATCAAAGCTTAGTATTACTTTATTAAAATTATGCTTTTTTATATATTTTGGTTGTTACTAATAAATTCTATTTATTTTTTAGATTCCATTTCTATTTTCTTATCATTTTGCCACTATATAATCATACTATTGTGGGTTTCATCTAAACTAAATAAATAGTAAATTCTATTAGTTTTACTTTTAGTTTATTTTATTATAACTATACTAACTAACCCTTTTACTACCTGGATTCTGTCATTCTAAAACACTATATTTATGACCTTATGTCTTTCTTGATTTAGATATATTTATCTTGCTAGGAATTTTGAATGTTGGGGACACAATTATGCATGCTTCACTGTTATGGAGTAGATTGTGCATAATTAATTCTAGGTTCTAGTGTAATATATTATGATGAACAAGCTGTCACAAAATTTTTGTCTGTAACAGTATCTAATTAGTTTAGTTTAGGTTATATTTATTTTTTCTTTAGTAGTAAAGATAATTGTTGCTATTTTTCTTTGATTTTCATTTTTGTTTAATAGAATGTAAACAAACTTTGCTTCATTACTTCTTATGCATCATAGCAAAAGTATCTCTAATGTGTATTCAGAAAGTTCTGTTAACTTTGCTATAAATTGGCTCTTGCAATTTCTTTTTTCATAATTTTCATTATCTTTTATCATCTATTGGTATTGATTAAAGTATGTTCTTATCATTATATTTATCTATTTTAATTACTGCTAATGCTTTGTATTTTGATTTTTTAATTTTAACTATATAGACCTTTCTAATTCTTCTGCAAATATAATCTAGTTCTGTTTTATTTATGTTTACTAATAAGTTCCAAATAGTTAGATAGTTGGTTTAAGATTTTTTAATTTTATATCTATAAAGAAGTTTTTATCCTCTTCTTTTTTTTTATTAACTTTTTTTTTAGGTTTCTTTTTTTTAAAGTTTAGTTCCTTAATTTGATTTTCTTCTTTAATTTTATTTTTTGTTTTCTCTAGAATAAGCTTAAGCTATTTTTCTTCTTTTTTGCTAATTCTTTTAATTACTTTATTTCTACTGTATTTATAATTAAAATTAACTTTTAATTAATTATTTTATTTTTAAAGCCTTTTTGATTGTTTTTATATGTTTATTCTTTCCTAAAAGCCATTTAACATATTTGATTTTTTTTTTTGATTTTTCTAGTAATATATAAGTAAAAAATTGTCTTTAAAAGTCTTATTTTCTACACATGTTTTGTATCTAGAAGACTAATTACTATGTTTTATTAAGATTAAAGAAGAAGAAGTAGATGTTAATGTTGTAGGTGGATTCCGAATTAACTTAAGTAAATTTTAAATCCAAAAACAACTTAAGTGGAAATAGAATTTTAAAAATTGTAAATAATATGCATTTTGATAATAAAAAATATAATTTATAGTTAAAAGCATTGCATAATCATCATATTATTTATTTCCTATAACATTAAAAAACATGCTCTCTATTTTTGCATTTATTACTATGTGGATGACATCTGCTTCCATACACCAAATTAGAACACCTACATTTACAAGAATTATTTTTGCATTCACTCTTGTAATTACATTTGGTGCCAGTTATAGTAGAAACAGACTGCATTCCTGCAGCTTCTCGTATACTGATAATTTTGTCTTGACAAACTTCAAGCTCTTTATATTCTGTCAGCCCTAGTGACATAATTTTATTTACATTAAAGATGGTATCAAGTATTCCATTTTTACATTGTAAGCAATATGTTTTGTTTGGCAATTTCTCAATTACCTTACAAGGTAAAGTAAACTGATTAATGGCATTATGATCTATTTTCAGAATTGCAATATATACATAGTCATTAATAAAATATTTAAGTGGGTGCTTATTATTTTTTCTTAACATTTGGTCTTTCATTCAGTTTTGATATTTGATAAGTGATTTATTTGCATATTTGCAAGATAGTTGATGTGATTGAATATTTTGAATTTCTCACAAGTATGAATTTTGTTCATTAACCTATTGAAAAAAAATAAAATAAATAAAATAAAAAATAAAAAATAAATAATTTTACAATAAAAATTTACATTATCTTCTTGATTTATAATCAATGATCTATATTGATTTAGTATTAATAGTTCAGGTTGGTGTAATGTCGACAATTCAGGTTGGAGTAAAGTTGTTGATTTTTGATTTAATATTAGAGAAATTTCCTGATATGGTGTTGGAGATCTAGATTGACTTAAAGCAAAGATTTTGGGAATTCTTGATTCAAGGCTAATAATTTGGATTGATCAGATGTTGAAAAATAAGACTGGTCTAATAAATAATTATTTTCTGATTTTTCAAAAAAATCATCAGCCAACTCTTCCTCATTTATAACATTTCATTGATATAAATCTTCAAGTATAGAAAAATTCTTGACAGTATCCTGTTCAAATACAAGCAAGTACGGTGATTTTCTAGTTGCACAAGATGTTTGTATGTTCATTGCATCTAAATATGTAACAGTAATACATAATAATTAATTGTTTATAATATATATATTATATGCACATACATAACATATGTATAACTAATAGTAATCCTTCTGTCCAATTATCAATTTTATTATCTTCCATCCATTTTCCAAGCTTGGTTTGCAAAATCCCATTACCTCTTTCAACCATGCTCTGAGACTGTGGGTGTCTTGAGTGCCCATTAATAATATATACACCAGGCCAAAATGTCAGCAATTCTGCAATCAGATCAGTAGTAAACTCTTTACCATCTTATTGCAGAATTGTTGGAGCTCCAAATACCACAAAAATATTATAAAGAAACACAGCTACTTCAGAAACAGACTTGCTTGTGAGACATTGGGCCCATAAAAATCTGGTGAAGTGGTCACGAAGGTGACAGATATATTTATATGTTCCTACAGGTTGAAAGGTTAATCCAATTAAATCTACTTGCACATGTAACAGGAAATCTGATGCTACAATTGGCTTTGCAGAGAGAGAATTAGGAAATGATCGATATGTAGCATATGTCTTGCAAGCATCACAGAACTCCTTTATAAACGATTGAGGAATATAATCATATTGTTTTCCAATCTAAAAAGCATTGTCATCATTATTTGTTACTGTAATTTTACAATTAAAAGAATTATATGATTTTACTTATAATATTCTACATTTTGGATAATCTAAAATGCCTATATGAACCTTACATAATATATTATAAAGATGATTAAAAGGGCATATAGTATATATTGTTTCTGACCCATTTTCATTTTTAACAACAGTGATAATTTGAGTATTTGGATTTATTTCAGTTCCTAACTCCTGTAGCTGAAAGTAATTTTTAATCTAATATCGATCTTTTGGAGTTCCCAAATTTATATTGGTAGGATCATGTAGTACTGCAATAATAAGATTATAATCAGATTGTGAAATAAAGGTTTTGCAACATCTAGCAAGTGACTTTTTTTCAAGAAATTTATTGACTAATTCATTAAAAACTTGTCTCAAAATAAACAAATATTCTTGAATTAACATTTTAATTGTAAACTTTCATGAAATAAAGTACAATTTTGTTTTAAATATGTTGATTTATAATTACTAATATTTGATTACTTAATTGATCTTTTTTATGATTCAAAATCAACTTAAGTTGTTTCCAGATTCAAAATCCACTTAAGTGGATTCCAAATTCACAGAATTTTGAATCTATTTACAACATTAATGAAAGATTTTTTAACTTCATTTGTTCAGTTTCAGTTAATTTTATTAATATATTTTCTTTAAACTTTATTTTTTTTGTTTTTTTCTTTGCCTTTGTAAAGTAATTTATTTTTGCTTTTGTGATGCTGTTTTATATTAAGTTTTTTAATTTGATCTATTATTGCTTCAATTTCTGTACTTAATGCAATTTTATTATTAGTTGCTTGTTGTCTTTTTTTTATAGATATATTATTGTTAAGTTTTTCTTTTTTATTATAGTTTTTTTTACTTCTTTTATTTTTTCTTCTTCTTTTTGTATTTTATCTTTATTTATACCTACTGTATATTTGACTAAGATTGAGTTAAGGTTTACTATTTTTATTTTGTTGGCTTATTTTTTGATAAACTTTTTTAATAAATTATTATTACTTTTGTTTAAAATTTTAGAGCTTCAAGTATTTGACTATATAGTTTTAGATCTTTTGTTGTAATATTTTTTGGATCATTAATTGTTAGTCCTATAACTATAACTTTAATGTTACCAGGTCTTTGTACATAGTTGTTCTTAGTACTTAATCTTAAATATCTATAAACTATATCACCTATATCTTGCATATATTAAATTAAAAATTAGTTATAAGGAATTTCTATTTTGAGTTTTTTTTTTTTTTTAGTTTTTAAAAGAGAAGTCTATCTTCTATTTCTTTTTTTTTTAATATTAAGGTGAGTACTTGTGACCCAGGATTTTATTGATAGTACATTTAGCTAATGGTTGTATTACAACCACAAGGGGCAACTATAGAAAGAGTGTACAACTAGCCACTTGTACAACTTTAGTTATTGTCTAATTTAAGTAGTCTGTTTGAAGGTTCTACACTAGCTGTCATACCTGGAACCCACTTGTAGATTCCCTATTTAGCCACTCTGTTTCTATATCTACTCATCTACCTACACCTACCAAGATGCCCTGGTCAATACTAGTTCAAATATGCTATAGTCACTAAGTCTTTAAAGCAGTTCACTCATATGAGGAACCTTTGACCTTGTACTAAACCTTCTAGAATCTTCTGTATCCCATTTTTACAGCTGACCTGGTATCGCTATGGCC